GAGAGCATCGTCGAGTGGCGTCTGTCATTGTCTAGTACAGTTCGAACCAAAAGTTAAATCGAAGCGCAGCACAACTGCGCGAGGTCGTGTAACCTCTGACAACGAGCTAATTTCTCGATCGGACTGTGCCTTTCCGTCCCCACTCTCGACCACCCTATAAGCCAGACAATGACAAACGCCACTCGACGATGCTCTCTCTCGGTACACACGGCTCGGCTCTAGTGCGCGTTCCAGTTAGTATATATTTCAGTGCGCCGCGCACATTCACCGCGCCGACACCACCGGAAACGATCCCGGGTCGCGAGACGGGCCGCGCCACGAACACCAGGACATACGCCCCCGGCGATGATGACACCAGCAGCCCCCCATCCCGCTCTCCGATGACCCCCCAACACTATGCCACACTATGATGCGCCGCCCTCCACCGACACGAACCACCCCGGAGCCGACGCTCCAAGCAGCCCGGTTCACGCGTTATTCGCCAAAAGCACCTGACCGGGAGCGACCCCCGATCCCGTCGAACATGCGTTAAACACCCTCCAGGGCATATGCCGACGCATGTAACGACCATCGAAAACCCGATTTTTCGAGACACGGATAACCGAAACCCGTTAGCCGGAAGATGATTTGAAGGTTAAATCCGAGCTCGCGGCCACGTCCCTCGTCGCCCAGGGAATCACTTCAAACGAAGTGACACCGTAAAAGGCCCGCCGTTAACGCGCAGAGCGAAGAAAACAGTTAGCCGGGGAGGGATTTGAAGGTCAAATCCCTCCCGGCCAACCTGGTCCCCATCGTCCAGGGATTCACTTCAAAAGAAGTGATCCCGTAAAAACCCCCATTCACGCGTAAAAAATAGTCGCACACATACACACGGAACTTTACGTCACAAATACAATGTTCAAGCGGGCGGTCCGACCACGCACACCCGCACCAGGGCGCGACCTCCATCTCGCCACGCACTCGATTACCCCGGACGATCGCGAAGGCCCGCGACATCCCCCGCAGAAGACGCGCACCGGGAAACCGACGTGCCACGCGTTACCGCAATTTGGCGACACCACGCCGCTCACCGGCACCGCTCAGCCGCCGCCAAGGGCAGCGCCACCCGCTCCCACGCAACCGCGGCCGGGGCCCGCCGCCCACGGCGATGACGCACACCGCCGCCCCCGCACGCGCACGCTTAAAGGCGCGTTCTCACGACCGCATTACACGCGATGCTACACCCCGGCCGCCGGCCAGCGGCACCACCCCGCACATCCCAGCGCACGATTCCGCCGCGCCGACGAGCACGAAGGGCCAGCGGCCACCGCACCCCGCGGCCACCCAGACGTCACGAACCGACAGTGCCTCCACCGAAGCACCGGGTCGCCCGCCGCCCGCAACCAAGGCGATGCGCCACGCGACCCGTCCAGGTGACGGGGACGGGCACGCGGCACACGGCGACCGCAGGCCACCCGACCGCGACACGCACGACAACGCCAGGGCACCACGCAAACGAGTCCCGAAAAACACCGCGGCGACAATCCCACCGAGCGAAGGTCCGCGCACCGAACGTCCATCCGCCACGAAGACGATCCATAATGGCGGCGGAGCTGATCGCTCCGACACCACCGCGCACCACCACGCCACCAAGAAATAGTACCCGGGTACCGGGCATCAAGCACGAGGAGCGACCCCATGGAGACGGTGCGCGCCGAGCGCACAAAATGGCGGCGCCGCCAAGGCCACTCATACCCGACACAACCGTAGTACATACGCGATTCTTAATTGTTAACATACAACACAATATTAGACGTTCATATTAAAAACTATGCCGCAATAACGTAAAAGGCCATTAAGTGGCAGTCCGCTATAATTTGTGATCACGGGCCGTGTGATTTCACGGCCCGAATACATACGTAGCCCAAAGGGCGTAAGTCACATATGTAACGTGGCAGCCCACTCCAACAGAAAGAGCCGGGTATCCGCTGCCATCCGATATAGGTCCCACACGGAAACACACCAGTAATGGCCAGGGGTTAGCCACGGAGTTAACTACAGTCTTTTTAAGCCCTCAAAAGGGGTTAATTCCATACAATAACTAATTTTCGTTAGTCACGTTGAGGCGAGTGAGTGGGGGGAACCGGCCATCTTGCCACGGTGACACGGCACGTAGCAGCAGTGGCAAACTTATCGTTATTTTCTCCGTTATTAACAATTTCTCCACTCCGCCTCCACTTCCTCCAGTCCTTTCACACGCGCGGAACACGGTGATGCCACAATTTTTAGCCGCAAAGCTAATATGGCCACACTATTACTACCACTATACGGGAGCTCTATTCCACACGTCCGTACACAGCCGCTGCTACGACGGATCCCCCTCAAGCGCCGAACCTGCTGACAGCGACTTTCATATCAAGGTGAATGAAGTTCGAGGAGTTCCGCAGCGCACGAGACGATCCGCGGAGGTGCGGGGAGGGAGATATTCCACGGCGATCCGCGGCGATCCGCGGCGATCCGCGGCTGAGTCAAGCGCCGAAACCTGGCTGCTGACAGTGAATTTCTTATCATTACCCGTTACGGTCGACGCTGCCGTTCTCTCTCGCCCTAGCTGGGTCTGCGGAGAGAGGGGAGACGCACGCTATGACCACGAAGATCTCATCGCATGCGTGTAAAAAATGCAAACCATGCAATGTCGTTGCGGACAAAGTTCTTAAATGTAGAGCTCGAAGGACAACTGATGTCAATAGGAGATGATGAGGGAAATAAGAGCATTTAAAATGATTAAAACCGAAGATTCTCTTTATTCATCCTTCTCTAGTTACAATGGTTAAAAGACGCTGATCTTCGATTGAGGTTTAATTTTATGAGATCGAAGAGGATAGGAATAAAGAATGGATAAAAAATGTTTGTGAACAAATATATATTTATCGTAACATGTACATTATGGTAACGCATCATATAAAATATTATCCATAGCAAAAGCTAATAATTCACAATCAATAAGCGAAGTTTTATCTGAAACTTTATGTAAGATTTTAATTGCA